TGAACACTCAAAGTCACTAATTGAACAAATTTCTGTTTTATGTCACTATGCAAGAAAGATGTGTTTCAGATTGAATATATTATAGTTTGAAAATATATATATGTAAGTGCAAAATTCTACTCAACCAATAACAATTGAGAAAAATAATACAACATACTCAAGAACAATAAAAATAAATAAGAACAGTGTCTAGAGAAGCGTAGAATTGCTTGGATCCTTTCCTTAGAGGTCTGGGCCTCTATTTATATACAAAAGTTAGAAGAATTATGGTAGGACTCGCGTTGCTTGTCCTCTAATTCTTTCCATATATCAATTTCTTTACAAATAGAATTTTTTCCTCTTTATAATTCTTCCATTTCCGGATTTTCCTTACATAGAACTTATTCCTTTGATGAATCCTTTTCTTTGTAGGACCGGTTCCTTCTTTAAATGGATTTGGGCCGCATCTAACTTGGTACACATGACTGCTGGTGTTTTGATTCGAGCTTTAGTAAAGCTTGTAGTTAGATAGCGGTAGTTTTGGGCTAATGACCAACTCTACTTGGGCTTCTGACGAAATGGGCTTTCACCTTTATTGAAGATAAAGTTACATTTATGATGACGTGGATTGCTCTCATTGGAGGGAGATTTTTCCCTCCACACTTTGCCCCCAATTCCGTCTTTAATTGGATTGCGGCTCCTATTAAAAAGGGAATTGAAGTTGCACGGTTGTCTTTTTTACCAAAAGACGTTTCGAAGATTGCCCATTGCCACTCTGCCTTAAGAGATTCTATAAGGATTACTTTTGCTCTCACTACGTTTCTTGCATTCTTCACTCCGTCGTCTTATCAGGTTAGTTCTTCATCTTTTTCTCTTCGATCTTGCATTATGAGTACTTCGACTACTCTTGAACGTATAGATATCATAGATTCTGAGTCCACTCCCTCGTCTTCCCCTAATCTCATTAGGGTTCCTCCACTTAGGGTTTCGAACTTTCCTAAACCTATAAGTGACTCGGCTAATCAGCCAGGTGTTTCTCCGATCCAAGCTGAAGCATTCACTTTCGGGTCGGACAATATCCTCACTAAGGAAGAGAAGAGTGTAATTCTATCTATTCGTCGCATTCCGTTCTCCATTGAATCCGTAATGGAAGAATTTGAGATTCCCGAGGAGATAGAAATTGCAGAGTACCCCAGAGGCGCTGATTTTTGCGCCAGCGAGGGCGTCGGAGAAGACGAGTTGCTCTTCTCTGTTGGGCATCTCAACGCTCTTAGGTTCCCCCTTCCATCATTTAGTCTTCAACAAATTGGGGATTGCACCCCTGCAAGTAAACCCTAACTTCCTTCGAGTAATCTCAGCACTCCTCATTCGCCGGTGGCAGGAGAGTCTTGACCTGACTTGCTGATTACTTATTCTATTTCTAAGCATGGAACCGAACCTTGTCGTTTCTTTTTCACTTCCCCCTTACACCAAAGGATATGCACAGACCTTCCTATTTTTGAGAAGAAGTGGAAAGAGAGGATGATAGTTGTTAAAGGGAAATGGGCCGTACCCCAATCGAGCAAACTCCCAATCCCTCGCAAGTTCGGGAAATTAGGTATAGAATATCCCCTTTTTCTTCATGAAGAGTGCTCGGGCTGTTTCCCATGTCGAGTCTTACTATTTCGATATATTTACGAGTTTCTTGGTGTTTTTTCAGCAACATTTCCTTCTTCGGCTGCTAAAAAGAGGCTTTCCTTCCTGAAAAAACGGGTCTGGAGCAACCCTCCCTTGATCAAGAGCTTACTCACTTCTGCGAGTCTTAAAGCAGTTGCTTCTAGAGCTGTAGCCGCTGATCTCATGGACCTCTCACTTCTATCTTTTGACAGCTTCCCCATGATTGAGGAAGAAAAATAGAGGGCTGAAGCCTTGAAGAGGAAAGCTGCAGAGAATGTTCCGTTGACTATACTGCGCACAAATGAGCAGGAAAAGGAGATTGACGAAGTCCCTTTGAACAAAAGGGCAAGGCTGAACTCCGCTTCAACCGCGAAAACCAAGGATGCTTCCAACCCAAAAAGCAAAGGGAAGAAAACCGAAGAGGTTAACCCTGAGGATGAGGTCAACGCTTACGTCCTTGCTGAGGCTGAAGCACCTTGGACTCCTTCCTTCTCGAGGGCTGACAAGTCCATCCTCCATGTTGGTGATTCTATGATCACTAACCCATCTGCAGCACTGGCCGTTGCTCGGGGAATGTGGCTCCCCAAGGATGAAGAAATTATGGGCAGAATGGGGCTGGAACAACTACGCCCATCTGCCCCCGTTCGAGCCATAGAGGTTTCCCCCGTCTTTCATTTCCATTGTCATAATTGCCTTACACACTTTCTTACATTGTTATTATCTCATAATGCAGGGCTTGTATCATACTATGGCCCTCTGTCCTACTGCTGAGGTCCAGTCTCTTTCCCTTAAGAAGCTGGAGAAGGACCTCAGTAATTATGAGAAGAAGGCATCCCATGCCATTGCCAATACACAAATTGCATACGAGGCTCGGGATATTTACAAGAAGCGTTTGGCTGCCTCTGATGCCAAAGTTGAGTCGCTGGAGGCTGAAGTCCAGCGTTTGAATGATGCCCTTAGCACCTGCATCATTGTAGGGAGGCAGATGCAGGGTCGTTACACCAGTTTGGTGCGCTTATCTAGCGCCAAGGCATTCAGGTCCAGCTTCAATCAGGGTTCAGGGGAAAAGACAACAGATCCCGAGGCTTTTGATGCCCAAATGGGAGTGTCATTCCCTTATGATGAGGGTCCAAAAGCTCAGGAAGCTAAAGTTCTTTTTGCCGAGATGGTGAAAGCTCATCCTGAGGTCCCTTCAGCTCCAAGTGTCTCTACTCTTACAACTGGCCCATCAAATCTTCCACCTGCAAGTCCAGCTGTGGTAGATGCTTTTGAATCTACCCCGTTTGATCCGAAGAGGAAGTAGGATCGAGTAATATATATATATATATATATATATATATATATATATATATATATTCTTTTTGGTAATGAAACAACATTGGGAATGAATGATATATCCATGTTTCTTTAAGCTGTGTCATTTTTATTCTGCTTCGACTGAGTATGCTTGTATGCTTTTAATATTGCACACACTTTGTCAAATGAGATTATTTTTAAGGAAAGTACCCTGCCTGAGAGTTCCTTATCTGTTCCATTCCGAAAAAAAATAAATAAGATGTGAAGAAGAGATCTCCTCTAATGGTTTATTTGATAATAGATGATTGTTTTTTCCTTTGGTGATTTAACCGTTAAGAGAACCCTTCTTGAAACGGATTTGTGTGAAGCAAGTATATTTATACTTGTTTCTTCTTGTAGTTTTTCAATGTGGGACAATCTCGTGGCTTATATTACCGAACTTAGAATCAGTGAATATGAACGTAAGAGTTAGGTTTGCCGAGCCGGATACTTAGGGTCCGAGGCGAATAACTTACTCCCCGGCGCTGAGCCTGAGGGGAGGTTGGTTTGCCGAGCCGGATGCTTAAGGTCCGAGGCGAATAAATTACTCCCCGGCGTTGAGCCTGAGGGGAGGTTGGTTTGCCGAGTCGGACACTTAGGGTCCAAGGCTAATAAATTACTCCCCGGCACTGAGCTTGAGGGGGAGGTTGGTTTGCCGAGCCGGACATTTTAGGGTCCGAGGCGAATAAATTACTCCTCAGCGCTGAGCCTGAGGGGAGGTTTGCTGAGCCGGACACTTAGGATCCGAGGCGAATGAATTACTCCCCGGCGCTGAGCGTGAGGGGAGGTTTGCCGAGCCGGACACTTAGGGTCCGAGGCGAATAAATTACTCCCCGGCGCTGAGCCTGAGGGGAGGTTTGCTGAGCCGGACGCTTAGGGTCCGAGGCGAATGAATTACTCCCCGGCGCTGAGCCTGAGGGGAAGTTTGCCAAGCCGGACACTTAGGGTCCGAGGCGAATGAATTACTCCCCGGCGTTGAACCCGAGGGGAGGTTTGCAGAGCCGGACGCTTAGGGTCCGAGGCAAATGAATTACTCCTCAGCGCTGAGCCTAAGGGGAGGTTTGTTTATATTTTTTCTCAAACAACTTATCATGAGGCCGAGGATTCAAAAATGATAATAGGCTAAGAAAGTGAGTAACAGTGGCTGTGAAGTTTCCTATTTGTTGACTTTGGAGACTTTCCTCCTCCATTGATACTCCCTTCTTGGTAACCAAATGTAGTGGACTACGCATATATTAATCGCATTTCTTTTCTATTTCTATCCGATGTGGGACATAGACTAAATTTTGTCAAAAAGGTCGGTGTAAGAAATGCCTCTGGTATTGAGCTTGACAGCCTTAAATACCAGTGGGCCCTTTTTACACCGCAATTAACTATTTGAATATTCCCATATATAACAGAATGTAACACATACTTTTTTGTCGATGTGGGATAGAAAGTTTTAAACATAGGCCATAACTCATGTTTTTTTTTTTTTTTTTTTTTTTTTCATTAAAAATCATTATGATGAATGCTTTTTTAACAGCTTGCTTCTAACATTGCTTTGCATAAAAATTGCATAGTGCGACTTGGCATGCATAAAAATTGCATAATCATAGAGTAGTATGAAAATATCTCTACATAAAAATTGCATAATGCGACGCATGCATAAAAGTTGCAAAATCATAGAGTAGTATGGCCTCCATTTTTATGGAAAGAAATAAATATGATAGAAGTAAAATAAAGAAAAGTTTGGCTAACTGTGGACATACTCAGTCTTATTTGTGAAGAATTTGTAGCAAAATTGACAAACTTATCTAATGGAAATACCTTTTAAGGTGTATTGCGTTCCAAGGATGCGTAATGGGACGTCCGTCAGCTTCAGCCAGACGATATGCTCATTTCCCCACTACTTCGGTAACCCTGTAGGGTCTGGTCCAATTAGGTTCCAATTTCTTTACATGAGCTGTTTCTTGCTTCAAAACCCAGTCGCCTACCACAAAGCTCTTGAATCTGACGCGTTTGTTATAACTGTTGTGCAGCTGTTGCTGTTATGAAGCAAGCCTAATTGCTGCAGCATCCCTTCTTTCGTCCAGGAGATCGAGACTATGTTCGAGCTGCTGACTATTGTTTCCTTCAAGCAATAAGAATGTCCGAAGGGTCGAAACTGCCGCTTCGGTTGGGATCACAGCTTCAGATCCATAAGCTATGGCAAAGGGACTCTCTCCCATAGGCCGCTGCGGTGTGGTTCGGTACGCCCAAAGCACCTGAGGGAGATTCTCGTACCATTTAGTTTTGAGTTTCTCCAATTTCTTCTTTAAACAACTGAAAATTGTCCGATTAGTTATTTCAGCCTGTCAATTCCCTTGTGGATGACTAACCGCAGCTAACTTTTGTACAATTCCATGCTCAGCAAAGAATTTTCTTGTACTTCTATTATCGATGTTCTTACCATTGTCCATCATAATGACTTTTGGGACCCTAAACCGGCAAATGATGTTGTTCTAAAGGAAACTTTTTACCTGCTCATGGGTCACGCTTGAGTAGGCCTCGGCTTCTACCCATTTAGTGAAATAATCTGTAGCCAGTAGCACGTACTCCTTTTGCTCCACAGTTTTGGGTAACGGGCCCACCATATCAATCCTCCATTGTGCAAATGGCCATGGATTTGCCATTGCGTGCAAATCTTCTGCAGGCTGATGCTTCATAGGACTGTGACGTTGACATTTGTCACACCTTCGTGTATACTCTTCTGCATTCCGGGACAGGTACGGCCAGAAGTAACCTTGAGTCACGACTTTATGCGCGAGGGATCTGCCCCAGGAATGGTTACCACAATCTCCGTCATGGATTTGTCTCAACACCACAAGAGCCTCAGTAGGGCTTAAACATTTCAGGTAAGGACCTGAAAATGACTTTCGGTATAACTGATTGTTAATGATGGCATATTTAGCTGCGGTGATACGGAGCTTCCGTGCTTCGGACTTCTGGTCTGGAAGAACCCCATGCTTGAGGTAAGCTTCCAATGGATCAATCCAGCATGGTTCTCAAGGAATAACTGGAACTACTCCCGCGGAGGATTAATGTTGGGCTCGTCCAGAACGTCAATTGGTACGATCCGAATCAGATCCTCATTTGAAGATGACGCTGATGTGGTCAATTGATCTGCTTCGGCATTTTCAACACTAGGTACCTGATAGAATTCGATCTGATCAAATCCCCGTACAACGTTCTCTACAGCTTCTTTATATGCTTTCATTTTTTCTTCTTTGGGATGGTACTGACCTGTCACTTGATTTATAACAAGCTGTGAGTCACTAAAAACCTTTAAGCAACGTACCTGGAGACTGCTAGCCAACCGAAGACCAGCAAGTAATGCCTCGTACTCGGCCTCATTGTTCGTAGCTGGGAACTTCAAGCAGATAGATTGCTGCAGCTTGGTGCCTTTGGGAGTTGACATTACAACGCCTACTCCTGCACTTACTTGATTCGAGGAACCATCGACTCGAAGTTCCCACTGTGGTTCTGGGTGTGCCGGCTCTTCGAGAGTATCTTTATACTCGAGAAGGAAATCCGCTACGACTTGTCCTTTATGCGACACCTTTGGCTCATAGGTTATGTCGAATGAACTAAGCTCGATAGCCCACTTCGTAATTCTCCCAGATAAATCAGGCTTAGAGAGTATACCCCGTATAGGATAGTTGGTAAGTACCACAATGCTTTGAGATTCAAAATAATGCCGAAGCTTCTTCTTGGCATAGATCAAAGCTAAGATAACTTTTTTTGCTTTACTATATCGCGTCTCCGCATCTGTCATGGTCTTACTTGTATAGAAGATTGGATATTGCCTCTTTCCTTCGTTTCTAATCAATGCTGCACTTGTCGATGTATTAGAAATCGCCAAGTACATAATAAGAACCTCCCCGGGTTTTGGAGCGAATAGAATGGGTGGTTCAGCCATGTAACCTTTCAACCGACTGAGGGCCTCCTGTTGCTAAGGTCCCCATATATCTTTATTCTTGGATCGTATAGCATCAAAGAATGGTTTGCACTTATTTGACAATCGGGATATAAACCGGCTGAGTTCTGCGATTCGACCAGTAAGTACTTGCACCTCCTTGCGATTTTTTGGTTCCTGATTCTAGATGAGGGCTTTAGCCTGAGCCGGACTTACCTCCATCCCTCTTTTATTCACTATATGGCCGAGGAATTGACCTGATGATACCGCGAAGGAGCACTTAGATGGATTCAACTTCATGTTGTACTTCTTCAAAGTATTAAAAACTTCCTGTAGATGCTTTGGATGATCTTCTTTCTTCACACTTTTAACCACCATGTCATCTATATATGCTTCAACTGTCTTTCCCAGCAGATTGTTGAATATCTTGTTGACAAGTCGTTGATAAGTAGCTCCAGCATTCTTTAGTCCGAAGGGCATGACCCTGTAACAATAAGTCCCCTTTTCTATAATAAAAGCCGTTTTTTCTTCATCTTCGGGGTCCATAGGAATCTGATTATATCCCGAGTATGCATCTAGGAATGTTAACCTCTCGTAGCCGGTGGTAGCATCAACCATCTGGTCTATCTTGGGTAGAGGGTAGCTATCTTTAGGGCATGCTTTGTTGAGGTTGGTATAATCTACACAAACCCTCCACTTTCTATTCTTCTTTTGTACGACTACCACGTTCGACAACCACTGCGGATATTGTACTTCTCGAATGAAACCTGCTTGCAATAATTTGTTTACTTCTTCAGCTATAATGCGATTGCGTTCAGGGGCAAACCTTCGGTGTTTCTGCTTAACCGGTTTAAACTCCGGATCCACCTTCAGGCTATGGCAGGAAACTGTGGGATCGATCCCTACCATGTTCGAGTGATCCCATGCAAAGGTATCTGCATTGCTCCAGATAACATCAATTAATGCCTCCTTTTCTTTGGACGTGGAAGAAGAGCTTAGATAAGTAACCTTCTGAGGGCCGCCGAAGATAACTTCCACGGCTTCGAGGGTCTCCTCGGTGGGCTTCGCGATTTCCTCCTCCTCCTTTCCCTTAAGATACTTGGGCAGTGGGCTCTGTAATTGCTATTTGGGTCCAGTTTTGGAAGCCTCACCTGGTTGCTGTTGAGTCGACATCCTCTTCGCCTCAACCTGTGTCAGCATATAGCATTCCTTCATTGCGACTTGATCGCCCCACAGATTAATTACTTCTTTCCCATCCGGAGATAAGCACCGCATCACCTGGTGGAGGGTGGATGGAATTCCTCTCATCCGATGTATCCAACCTCTTTTCATGATGAGATTGTAAGAAGGATGGATCTCTGTTAAAACAAAGTTCTCCTTCAGAGTCCTCTTCGCCACGGTTACGGACAAGTCTATTACTCCAAGGGATCTACTCTTGTGCCATCAAATCCCAACAACGGACTGGAGGTAGGTCGAATAGATGATGACGTGATCTCTAATTGATCAAAGACCGTCTTTGTGATTATGTTAGCGCTACTTCTTGGATCTACCAAAACCCTCCTGATCATACAATTGGCCATTAAAAGACTGATGACCAATGGATCCTCATGGGGGAGTTGCACTTTGGATAGGTCGCCATCTCCGAATCCAATACTAATGCTACCAGAATTGATAGCATTGACCGAGGATATCTTCCTGAGCTTGTGGGTCGCCCTCAATCTGGATCTGTACACCTCCTCGGACTCTTGATCATCTTCAGACCTGCCATGTATTGCATGGATGACTTTTACTTGCGTACCTTCTACCTTACGGGGATAGACCTCGCGGGGCTTTGCATGCTCCTTTGTTATGAGGTAATCCATTCACTCACCTCTGGCGATCATATTCTCCACCTATCGCCTGAGGGATCGACAATCGTTTGTTGAATGCCCATAATCTCGATGATGAGCGCAATGCTTGCTTTTGTCCCTTTGCTCCAGGGGTTGCTTTATTGGCTGCGGAGTTGTGAACTTCGTCTTATTCTCTTGGAAGAGCCAAGCCAAGGTAGTTCGGAGAGGTGTAAATCCGTCCTCTACCCTTTGCCTTTTTTCAGGTGCCTGGGTAACTGGCATTGAGGAACGTTGGCTTTTTTGAATCTTTGGAGTTGGGATTCTTTCTCGAGGCTTGTTTTGCACTGTCACGAGGGTAGCGTGCTGCTCTCGGTGGGCTATATTTTCTTCAAGCCGAATGTAGATCTAGGCTCTGGCATTTAGAGTCTGCATGTCGGGAGGGGAATACTTGACTAGGGAAGTGTGGAACTTCGTCCCCTGAATCATTGCGAGTTTAAATGTCTCTATAGCAGTTGCGGGATGACAATCTGCTATTTCTGATGTCTCCATGTTGAATCTTGATAAGAAATCCTGCAAGTTTCCCCCCTTTTCTGCCTTACGGTGAAGAGGCTGGCAATGCTTTTCTTTTGCTTTTTATTTCCGCAATACTGTGCCAGGAACATGGTGTATAGAGTTACGTAATTCGGGATGGATTTATGCGGTCTATTCCTGAACCACTCTAGTGCTGCTCCTGTCAAACTGGTAGGAAAAACTCTGCACATCCAAGGGTCATTACGATCATCCAAAGCCATCTTTTGAGCATAATGATCTAGGTGCTGAGAAGAATCCCTTGTTCCATCAAACTGGGTGAAAGAAGGCATGGTGAATTTCTTGGGCCTCTCTACCAGATACACATCGTCAGTGAAAGGAGTTTTGATCAAAGAATTTTTGTGTTCTCTAGCCATCTCGGCAGGTGTTTGAATCTTCAGGAGTCTCTTCTGGTCAAAGGCATCCTGAACGCCTGCACCATCTGGGATTCCATTGGACCACACCGTAAGCTTATGGCTGGATTCGACCTGCTCATCCTGCGTGCGATGAGGGACGTTATCTGAAGCCGTAGCCTCGGATCTTGCCTTCCGTTGCTGCTGAACCTCATTCGGCTGAACCTCATTGGGTCATGCCCCATTAGGTGGAACCCCATCAGGCGGAAGTCCAGTAATCGGAGGAATATTCTGACTAGAGGGAGCTGCTGTGTCACCCACTGGTGGCGGTGGTGCCAACTGAGCCAGCGTCGTTTGTAGAGTGTTATTCTGCTGTTGAAGTAAGGCGATCTGAGCCACACTTGCTTCGTTTGCTTGACGAAGTACGTCAAATTGGTGCAGAAACTCTTCACGCATTTTTTGCATCAACTCCATCTGTTGATCTGCTGAAGATCCTCCGTTCGACATTCTGGACGGTTAGCTACAGGATTCACTTGTAAAACAAAAACAAGAATGGGAGTATATTTGCACACGTTTCCTACAGACGGCGCCAAAGTGTAAGTGCAAAATTCTACTCAACCAATAACAATTGAGAAAAATAATACAACACACTCAAGAACAATAAAAATAAATAAGAACAGTGTTTAGAGAAGCGTAGAATTGCTTGGATCCTTTCCTTGGAGGTCTGGGCCTCTATTTATATACAAAAGTTAGAAGAATTATGGTAGGACTCGCGTTGCTTGTCCTCTAATTCTTTCCATATATCAATTTCTTTACAAATATAATTCTTTCCTCTTTATAATTCTTTCCTTTCCGGATTTTCCTTACACAGAATTTATTCCTTTGATGAATCCTTTTCCTTGTAGGATCGGTTCCTTCTTTAAATGGATTTAGGCCGCATCTAACTTGGTATACATGACTGCTGGTGTCTTGATTCGAGCTTTAGTAAAGCCCGTAGTTAGATAGCGGTAGTTTTGGGCTAATAACCAACTCAACTTGGGCTTCTAAAGAAATGGGCTTTGACCTTTATTGAAGATAAAGTTATATTTATGATGACGTGGATTGCTCTCATTGGAGGGAGATTTTTCCCTCCACAATATCTAATTATCTTTTTGTTTAATTATTGTATAGTGTTTAAAGGAAAAGTATTCACGCATAGATAACATTTAATATTATTTAATACAAATTAATTACTATAAGATTCAAAAGGTTTGTAATCACGAGTTTTTACCATTATCACACTTAATTAGTATGGTTAGTCACTGCTGCTGCTCTTTCCAAGTTTTCGTGGAAAATTCACATTCCTCTTAATGCAAACCCTAAGCCTTTTTCAAATGTGGTTTGGAGGGAATATAAATCAACACCAACGACCCGGATCACCAAACTGGAACTCACCTACTCTCTCCAGACTCACCACAGCACCAATTGCATCTTTCCGGCCGGTTACACCGCCGTGATCAACATCGACGACTCAGATCACCAAACTGGAACTCGCTCTGAACTCACCTAAGCACCAACTGCATCTTCTGGGCCGGTTACGCCGCCGCGATCGACACCAACAACTTGAGTTGGAACTCGACCACTCGCTCCGGACTCACCACAACGCCGGTGACCTGACTTACCACGATGCGTTTCAGGAGGAGCACGACAAGGGCAATACTAGAATTTCACTCACGAAGGACCTGATCAGAGTGAGCAAATCAAGATTCTATTGCCACAAGTTTTGTCATTGAGTCAACTCGCTCACTTTATTAAATAGAATATTATTGCATTTACTAGAATTGGAGAAATTTTAATTTTCTGTCAAGAAGAAATGGGCAGTTTAAATATTTGGACACATACTTGTGCACTATGCCCTTTTCAACCCATTTGATCGAATATGTGCGTGTAATAGAATTAAACAAATCATTGCTTCATTTTTCTAACAAATTTTTTGGGATTACTTTAATTTGTTAGAGGGTTGATTGAAATCTATTGTAGGTATATATTCATAAAAGTGAAAGATACTGGTAATTTTGTACTCTTATTCTTGACAAAGTTTTTTATTGATCAAGATTGTTTTTTAACAATTCTTTTTAACCAATTGATAGAATATGATGCTAATAGTGAAATTAAGAAACGGGTACTTAAATTTTCTTAAAATGTGTCTCTCCCTCTCCTTGCATTCTCCAGTTCCATTTTTAGCTTATTAAATAGAATTAAACAAATCATTGCTGCATTTTCCTAACAAATTTTCTGCGATCACTTTAACACGTCCCTACATTCTATTTGACACACAATGTGTGTGTTGACAATTGAGGTTCAAACAATTTAGATTCTGCATAATGTCATATCTAGGGTTATCCATGTGATGGGCGTTTTTAAATAATTTGGGATATTGCTTATTTGATGAGCTTGAACATAACGTCGGGCTTAAAGAGGGCTCAGGCTGGGTCCAACGGATTCAGGTCGTGACATTGAGGTTCTGTTGAAGCATATGGAGAAAATTACCGTGTCTATCAGAAGGGTGAGAGGAATTATCTCGGAAACAGAGAGAATGGAAAATAAAATGTGTATAACATGTTACCGTTTACCTTATTTAATATCATATTCCCTTATACATCATAAATTTTTATTCCTGTTGAACTAAACAAATAAAACACACACATGGGTTACCTCAGTAGGTGAATCATCTTCTTCTTTTCTCCCTCTTCGCCTTCCTCTTCCTCTTCTCCCCATTAGCTCTCTCTCCTCTCGTTTTGAATCAAGAACACTAGAACACTCTCTTTCTCTAGTCTTTGTTATTCCACTGGTAACTATTCACATTTGGGCTCAAGTATGCCATTGTAACTGGTATAATTCTATTTTGGAATGACTGCGTTAAGACAAACTTTTTACGGAGGTAAACAAACAGTTGTTAAGCTCATTGTCTATGTTTGTTGAACTGTTGTAGGTTGAAGTTTGTCTCCTATAATTCACAAATTTTGTTTCTGTCCACACCATTTGGCTTTCTCTGGAATAATGCGCAACCATTTTGTAAAGAGAATCGATTATTCAACTACCTGAGATGAGATGAAGAGTCTTAATATAGTTTTGAAAATACTTGAACATATTATTGTGGCAGTAAGTATAACAACAAACACAGAAACTAGGTACTTTAACATTCACAGAACCATATAGCTTTCTTCTCGTAGGTGTTGTTTTTATTTTGAAGCATCCAATCATATTAAAAGTGTAAATCAAAAAGCAAAATTGTCCCAGTTGAATATGAATTAGCATGTAAAGTGCATCTGTGTGGAATTTTGGATTTTCATTTCCAGTTTGTAACCTGAACTTCTTTAGTGTCTTTGGTTTTGGGTTTTGGAGGAATAACTGCTTCAGTTTTCCTTCTAGATTTGGGAAACATTAGAAAAGCTTACATTGTTGTTTGTTCCTCGTTTACGATACTTTAATTTGAATTGTTAAAGATTTCTTAAAGCATATTTATGTTTGATTATGGAAGCAAGCTTGGATTTTTTAGTAGAGCAACTTGTAGTAGACATGATTGAAACGTTTGGACACAGCATTAAAGATTTTGTATAATTTAGATTTACATGTCTGATCATTATTGATTTTATCAGAAAATTGGGGCTTTCAGGAAAATGATCCATGTAAAAAAAAAACAATGTAACAAGTGTTGATTTCCTACAAAAAATTGGAGTGTGCGTCGAGATCTCTTGGCTATAGATATGTAATAATTTGTGGATGTTGACTTGAGAGCTAGATGTTATGCAATGTTCATCTTCAGAATGATTTCTTGTGAAAACTTCGAGGCACGAACTATGTTTTAGCAATGGTATAGTCTTGCACCTAATTCAAAATGCCTTGTTCCATTGGATGTTTTTTAAAAAACTTCAACGCACGAAATTCATATCCTCTTATTTATAATTCCATTGGATGTTTTTTAAATCAAGATTTCAATTGCAGGATTCCCTTTTAAAGTTCAATGCACAAGCACTCCACTGTTAGTTGCAGAATCTGAGCACAATCACAATGGATTTATGGTATGTTAAAAAAGAAACAAATGGAGCAAATGGATTTATGGTCAAACAAAGCAACATCAAAGGAATCACTCTCTCAGATGTGAGGAGTTATTGATTTGTGGGCTCTTGCTCTTTGATGAGGTGTTTTTCACTATCGTGATTTATAATTATTTTTTTCTCAGCAAGAAATCCTCATCAATTCGCCATCAAAACTTTTAAGTGTTTTTAGTAAGGTTTGCTGAGAAGATCTTTGTTGAGAAGTTAGTTCTTTTTTTTTTTTTTTTTTTTTTAATGCAATTAGTATGAAGACAGATTTTGTACCATTTGCTATGAAGGGATGATCACCACACAATTCTTGCACTTCTTTATATATGAAGTAGCATACTCTTGTTATGGCAGTGACAAGAATGGTTAATGTAATTAATTTTATATATATATATATTAGGTTAATGTGATATTGGAGGAAATTAATAAAAAAAAGTGCATGATCTGCCATATTTTTGACTTGTGTGGCATTTAAATGTAAAAGTGATGTCAGAGAAATGAGCAAAACATAACCGGAATGAAAAGGTCTCAAAATCACAATGAATTCTAATGAAACTTAATTAGTTGACCAAATTATGATAAACTGGATCTGTAATCAATTGACCTGTTTGAGGCCTTCCACAAAACTCGACTCTCAAATAAAGTTGCAAGAAACAGGTGTTTCATTGAATCTATAATAGTTTTAAAAAAATAGGAAAAGCGTCTAACTATTTTTTGCTTAATTACTGTACAATGTTTAAAAGAAAAATATCTAAAGAAAAATTACGTTTGACATTATTTTACATAGCAATTTTTTTTTTTTTACCATTATCACGCCTATCATTAACATGATTAGTTATTGGTACCTGCTCTTTCCAAGTTTCCAGGGGAAATTCACATTCCTCTTTACTGTCCAAAAAGCAAATCCTAATCCTTTTTTCAAATGTAATACACCATTGTGTGTATATATATATATATATATAAAATAACATACAGAGGCGTTACACGCGGGAAAATATGATAAGTTTATTGCAGTCTTCAACTATCACCCTATTTAATTTGAATCATTTCCACCGAAACTATCAAGATGGCCAGAAGACACCATCATCCATCCTCTTCATCACTGTCCATCATCTCGGATTTAATTCTAATCATTAGCTCCTTACGATGTACCGCGAAACACCCAACAATTCCCCTTGTTAATTCATGCACAAACTTCAGAGAGATCAAGCAAGTCCACGCCCAACTGCTCATCAACAGCCTTCTTAACGGCTCGCTTATCCGAGGCCCAGAGGCGGAGGGAAGAGGGCCCCCTAAGTTTTTGGAATTTTTTTTAGTATAGGTAAAAATAAAATAATATAGTATATATAGTACAAAATCTATACTTGGCCCCCTAAGAAAAAAAAAATTATTTCTTTAATTAGAATTTAACAAAATAGTTTA